GAGGGGTGGGTGGGTGGGGAGGGCTGCCTCAGCCAATACTTGAGTTTACTTGAGACCCTTTAATTCTCCTCCTTGTCACATGCCCATGCTGCCCTGGGAGGCTGCTGTGATTAAGGTCCCTGATGGTCCTTCTTATAAATGAAGGTGTGGATGCCAGGATGGGCACCTCAAGGGCCATGCTCACATCCCAGCTCCACTGGGCTGTGTGACCCCAAGCAAGTCACTTTCCCACTCTGATTCTCCCTAGAGACTCTGGTCAAAGGAACACGTAGAGTGGCTGAGCTTCAACTCAAGTCAGCGTCATCCCAAAGCCCTTGACCTTTCTAGTACACCATGCCACTCACCACGGTGATCATCGTTTCACTAGTTTGGGGGAAGGAGAAGAGCCTCCCACTGCTTTTTTGCCCCCCACCCCCATCTTGCTGCTCTGTGTGCACAAAGGCACAAACTGCCTCAAGCCCCCTTCCCACCAGGCCCTGGGGTCCTGGCCACCTTGGTTGTGACCAGCCCGGCCAGGCCCAGAGCGCCCTCTGCTGGTGCCAGTCTTGAGGACCTACTTCCAGACCAGCCTGCAGGTGTCACCTCCCCACCAACGAACGGTATAGGACCTCCACCCAGTGCCCGCTAAGGAGCCGCCTTCCATGGCCAGTGGGCGTCAGTGAACATTGCCCATCCACCTCTCTAGGCTGGAAGAGGCCTCTGTGGCCAAGGCTGTCCTCTGGCTCTCGCAGGCCCCTGTGCAGGCAGGTCCTGTTTATTCCTGCCTTTTCTTTTTCTTTCTTTTTTTTTTTTAAAGAGGATGGGGCAGACAGATCTACAGGGGCAGGGCAGATCTGGGAAAATAGATGTTTTTGAAAAAGACTTCGAGGGAATGGTAGAGGGGAGGCTAGGAGGAGAAAATGTCCAGAATTTGGAGGACCCCAGAGGCCTCTGGGATGGAGTCAGTTCTGGGGAACTGGCTCCCATCCCCAAGGGGGCTGGAGGCAGCCCCTTCCCAGGGAGAGGCCTCTACTGGAGCACGTCCAGGCGGGCACGATGCCAGGCTCTCAGAGGTTGCCCGCCCCCACTCGGGTGCACTTCCGCCTCCCCTCCCCCAGCCCAGCGGATGCAGCCATTCACACTCTGTATTTATTATTGTTCTTGTGCTGCATCCCCCTCCACTCTCCCTGGGAAGAGCCCACAGGCTGGCAGCTTAGCAGGAACCTGCTGTCTCCCTTGTGGGTGCCAGCATCACCCCTTATCTCCGCCTGGACTCCTTGTGCTAGGGTCAGGCCATTCAGGGACTTGGTGCCAGCCAAGGCTGCCCCTGTCCCTGCATCCCACCTCAGGAGGCCCAGTAGCCCCAGGCTTATCACTCCTGTCCTCCAGGGGCTGCACCCAGGCAAGAGTGAGGTCAGGGACAGACCTGGCAGGGGAGAGGAGTGGCCTCAGGAGAGGCAAAAGCTATGAGTGGGGTGGCTCCAAGGCGAAAATAATAGCATGGAGCCACCTCTCCAAGCGAGTTAACACAATTACCCCACCACACTGGGGAAGAAATAGAGTCAGGAGAACACAGCTGCTCCAGGGCCGACTGTCTGGCCCTGAAGTCCCTCCCCAGCCCCAGCCCGAGCCCCAGCCCCAGCCCCAGATTCCCGGGGCAAAGGCCCAGTCCACTCCTGCTGCTCTGGGAGGAGCACGCTCATTCTCCAGTCATCTCTCCCCCCTGCCTCCCAGACAGGAGGCTGCGGCTTGGCAGGTGTCTGCTGTTCTCTGGCTCTTGAGCCAGACACAAGTCCCAGACACACACACACACACACACACACACAGTCTCACAGGGAGCCACACGGCCTCGGCTTCCCATGGGGGTCAGAGGGAGGGAGGGCGAGCCCGGTGGGCTCATCTGCACATCCTCTCATATCCCCCGCACCCAACCCGCCAACCCGTAAGCTGAACTGGGCTGGGCCAGCCCCGGGGGACATGCCCACCTTCCCAGCCTCCCCTGCCCCATGTCATACTTCCCTCCTCCTCCGTCCTTGCCAAAGCCAGTTTCCAGAGCTGGTGTGGCCTGGGGCCCCCCATCCAGCCCCTTACCTCTCCCTGGCAGCCGAGGTCGAGGACTGCCTCCTGCAGCCGGCTTCAGCACTCTGCCTTTCTTGGGCTCTTGGAGCCGGGAGCAAGGGGTGGTCTGAAAGATGCGCTGTGTGTATGGTCGTGCGTATGGGTGTGTGTGTGAGTGTGTGTGTGTGTGTGTGTGTGAGCATGCGGCACCTCGGGCCCCTCACTCACTCACACACGCCTTTCTCCTGACGTCAGGAAGAGCAGGAGGGAGGGACTGGGGTGGGAATTTGTACTCCCTGCTTAAAGGGACACGGGGCCCAGACACCACCTCCCGAGTCAGACACAGGCTGAGTGAGAGAGTTAGCTGTGTCTCTCAGGGCCCTAAAGCTTCTTTTTTTGGAAAGTGGCTTTTATAGCTGGGCCAGGGTATAATTTGCCCTGCCAGGTGGGAGTAGCTGCTGAGGAATGCAGGAGAGGCAGAGTTGGGGACAGCCTGCATTCCTGGCAATTAGAGAGCAAGCAGGTGGAGTGGTGAGTGAGTGTGTGAGTGTGTGTGTGTGTGTGTGAGTGCACTGGGGGGCCTCAGGGTGGGGCCCAGCAGAAAGGCCTCCCCGCCAGGATGCTTCAGATAAAGGTGGGGAGAGCCAGATCCCCAAGGACTCTCAGGCCTTCCCCTTCCCTCTGGCCCCTCAGAATGTCCCTGCCCTCCATTAGCACCGACACCCTGCTCAGGTCTGTGTCTCACTTGACTCTGAGAGCCTTGCGAGTGAATGAACTTGGGCAAGTCACAGCAACGCATGATCTGGTCCACGGTAGGCCTTTGAGATATTTCTACTGAACTGAGGTGAAGAAGACTCTAAGGAAGTGATGAGCTTGCTACACACACACACACACACACACACACACACACACACACAGCCTGGGGGTCTCTCAGGCTGGACGACCACTCTTCCTGGAGAAAGCCCAGGGTTCTATGACAGACAAGACTCAGTGTTGACCTCAGCTCTAGCACTTCCAAGCTGTGTGACCTTGGGCAAGTCTCTTCTGACCGATTTTTCGTCTGTAAGGTAGGGAAGAGAGGGCTGTTGGAGGTTCATGTATTGAAGCACCGGCCGCCTGCAGGAGGCTTTCACCAAAGGGTTTCTCCTCCTTCTTCCTGTCCCGTCTCCTCAGCCTTAGCTTGGAAAGAAGAAGGGCTCTCCCTCACGTAACCCCAGTACTACTGAGGCAGGCTGGCGCTTTCAAAAGAAGTCTTATTAAAATGGAAAGGAGGGGGGAGTTAAAAAAGAGACGATCCAGAAAAATACAAATAATGAATGAAAATAGCTAGTAAGGAGCACTGAGGGCGTCCACCTGTCAGACAACCAGCTTCGCCTTCGTTTAAAGCTCGCAACAGTCCAAAGCTTTATCGTCGTCAACCTGATTTTGCCGGTGAGGAAACAGAGGCTCAGGCAGGAGGAGGGACCTGCCTGCATTCACGACCTGGTCAGAGGGGTATTTGAACCCAGGGCACCCAATGCCCCCACATGCCCTGCCCTTCCAGAACCTCCCAGAACAGTCAGGCTCACCGGTCCTAAGTTTCTGATTCTGCAGGAGAGACGGGGATACACACCACCTGCCGTGACCTGAGGCCCCGACTTCCGGTTCCATTCTGCTGAGAGGACCCTCCCCACTTAAATCCTCCTCTCCCTTCTTTGTCCTCCTCTCTTCCAAAGACAATAATAGTTTTCAAAAGGCCCTCACAGGCATCATCTCATCTGCTTCTTATAATGAGTCTGTGAGGTTTACCTGGATGAGGAAAGCTGGGAGAGGTGATGGGGCTCCATTGAATCACCTGGCTCAGAAGTGACCAAGTGACGGAGCAGGCGCCTGATTTTCACTCTCTGGGGGAAGGGCCGGGACTGTAGTGGACACCTGTGATTTTCCTTGCCCACCGCCCACTGTCTTTTCTGCTAGGAACTGTCTCCCTGCTTCCTGTGCTCATCTGAGGAATGCCCTCTCCTCTCTCAGGACCCCTGGCCCGGGCCCGGACAGTCACAACCGGTGCCAGGACTTGGGCTAGAATCTCGATGCCAAGACCAGCTCTTCTCTCCGTGGTTCCTGAGTCAGTGGAGCATTGGCCTTGGGCTGTTGGTGGCTGAGGGATAGATTACAAATGGATGGGCCAGCAGAAGGGAGTGGCCAGAGAGGACTTCTCCAAGGTGACGATGTTTAAGCGGAGCCCCAAATGACAAGAAGGAGCCAGACTTGCCAGAATCTAGAGAAGACTGTGGCATGCCAGAGGAGGAGGAAAAGGCTGGTGTGGCTGAGGGAGGAGGGAAGGGAGAGTTTGGGCATGAGCCTGGAGGCCAGGAGGCAGGGCCTCGAAGGCCAGTTCTGAGGAGGCTGAGGCCTGGTCCACTCTGGATGGGGCCAAGCAAGAGACAGGCTTTACCCCTCCCTTCATGTCCAGCCTCCTTGCTCTGAGGCTGCCCCTAGCCAGCTGGCAGCCATGTGCTGGGGCTGCCAGGCAGTCGAGTGCGTGAATGAAGGAGGCTGGGCCGAGGTTTGAAGTAGTGTTATGATTATTCTCGCTGACGAGGAGAGGGCCCAGCTGTTCATTCAGGAAATGAGCAGCCCGTGGCGCCACCCGCCCACCCACCAGCAGCTGAGGAGCAAAGAAATCATCTGCTTCAAACCAGGGGCTCCTAGTGGAGGCTATTTTTGTGAAGAGCTGAGAATTCGAGTCTCCTTGAAAGCTTCCCTTGTCTTGGAGAAGCTAAATAGGTGGGTCAGAGCCGACCAGCTCCCGAACCCTATTGCTTACATTTGAATTATAATTCCCACTCTGTTATTGACTGTGGCCCACAGACGGGGTGGGAGGGGGGCAGTCCTGGACCACCTTGGCCTTGAATCCCAAAACCCTTTAAATTACATAACATCCCAAGGTGTCTGTGCCCCTTGGCAGATGGAAATTCAGGCACAGAGAAGTTAAGAAACTTGCCCGGCATCAGACAGCTGGTGATGGAGCTGGGATTAAAACACAGGGATCCGGGCTTCATTCTTTCCGCTACAGCGCACTGCCTTGGAAATGTCTCTTCAATTCCCTGGATTCCCAGCCCCTCCCCTGGGGCACCCGTCTCCAGCCCAGTAAATGGAAACGGTCCTTCCTGCTTCTCTCCCTGTCCCCCGGTTATCTCCTCCGATCCGGCTACTGCCCTTTTGCCAGAGAAGATCTTTCTCTGCAGCGCTGACCACAGCGTCTGTTCATTCATTCATACATGTGACAGTGTTTGTCGACTACTTACTATGTGCCAGATGGTCTAGACTCGAATAGAGCAGGGAACAAGACAGACATACTCCTCGAGTTTACAAAGCCCGTGACTCATCTAGGAAGAGACAGAGCACCAAGTACACAAACAAATAAATATATAATCACAAATTTGAAGACAACAAACAAGGAGTGTGAGACCAACGAGACTAGTAGGGCCGAGTCCAGCCACTGGGATAGAGGGGGCTGACCGGACTGCTCTAAGCTGAGCCCAATGGATGAGGAGCCAGGCTTGCAATAAGCAGGGAAGAGTGTTTTCCAGAGAGGGATCAGCATGGGTGAACTCCTAGAGGCAGGAAAGAACTGCGTGGCTAGACGTGGCTAGATGTGGCTAGAGCAGGAAAGAAAAGGGCAGAGGCCACACCGTGTAGGGTCAGGAAGGTCTGGCCACAGGCCTGCTCCTCATCTGAAGCAAGACGGGGAGGCACAACGTGCTCCTACCGTGAGTGTCACTGGCGGCCTGGCAGGCTTGTCTAGGGTAATGATCTATGCGGGCAGGAGGATGAGGGAGCACAGAGAGGTCCCCTGGCCTGAGCCTGCTCTCTGGCCTGTGGATGAGGGTCTCCTTGTGTTGTAGCTGCTTGCATCCTCTCAAGTCACTGAGAGGAGCTCTCTGTGATGGGGTGAGGGGCCCACAGCCAGCCTCCCCCCGTACTCTGCCCTGAGGACCTGGGGCCGGAGCAGCCAGGCTGCCTGCAAGCTGATGCAGGGCTGGGAGCCAGGCCTCCTTCAGCCATCTGTCCACCCACCTACTCTCGTAAACACCCTGGGCCGTGGGCCTCCAGACTTCTCAACACTTAGGGCGCACTTTCACCCTCGCCTTCCAAGAGAGGCTGTCCCTGACTGCCCTGGCTGGAGCAGCAGTCCCCGTCACACACTATCACATTATACATGTGATCTTTCTCGATAGCAATGCCTGAAACGATCTCCCAAATCTGTTGGTTTCCTGTTTCCTGTTGGTCTCCCTTCCTGCTCCCCAGATAGGGCTTCATGCATAGTAGCCCCAACAAATAAATACCTGTTGACTTTCTGCCCTTTGTTTTAGCTCGAGCCAGAACAGAGAACAACATCCTGGGACACTTCATTTCGGTCCCTTCTAGAATCATTGCTCGTAATGGCACTTCGGCTGTGCCTTTGCCTCCAAGGAGGGGTGTTTTAAAAGTGCCCGAATGTGATTGGTTCCTGGACCTGTTCAGACACCGCCAAGGGCATCCTTCTGTTCCTCGGAGGCTCCATTCCTTGAGAACCTGAAGAAAAATCCTCTGAGGGCTCCAAACCAAGTAAATTTGGATCCACTCCGAACACCCGCTAAGTTTCCATATGGGAAACTAGAAAGTTTAGAGCCAAATTCTTCTTCTGTCGCCAGCGAGTTTACAGGGCCGTGCCTATCACAGGGCTAATCTTTTCTTTTCATCTTTTCATTTAACCATCCAAGAAATATCTGTCCTGGGCTTCTTGTGTGCCTGGCACTGGGAATCAACAGTGAACAAAACAAGACAAAACCCCCATCTGCATGGCACTCAGTCGAGAAGAGGGAGAGGCAATAAAACCATCTAATAAGTAGCTAAGTCTTATGTCAGAAGGCAATAAACGCTAGAGAAAACTTTTAAGTGGGGAAGTGGGGTAGGGAGTGAGGAAGGATGATTTGCAATTTAAAATGGTGGTGTGTGTGTCAGGGAGAGCATCGCTGAGGCGACATTAAAGCAAAGACTTCGAGGAGATGAGGGATGAAGACGTGAGGGCAGTGTGAGGAAGAATGTTCCAGACAGAGGGAAGAGCACGAGGCAGAGGAACGGGGCATGCGGTCGGAGGGGTGGTGAAGCCACCCTCGCACTGCAGGGTCTGGAGAGGAGGACTGAGAATTTCTGGGCGATATTTTAGCAGCATCTCTCTGGCGTCTGTGTGGAGTGCAGACTATGGGGGATGCGAGCAGGATGAGGACAGTACGGGGAAACCAGCGGGAGGCTGTCGCAAAGGCCCAGGGGAGAGGTGAGGGTGGCTGGGACCCATGAGTAACAGTGGAGGTGTTGGGGGAGGGTGGATTCTGGATGCATTTTGGAAGTAGAAACAACAGGATTTGTGCAAGGGGTCCTGGGGGTACGAGAGACAAGGAGGAGTCGAAGGTGATTCCCAGGTTTGCGCCTGAGCAAACAGGAAGAACGGAGAAGTTATATTCTAAGATGGGAGGATTGTGATGGAAGCAGGTTTGGTGAGGGCGGGTGACCATGAGTTCCATTTGGGCCCAGGTTAAGCTTGAGTCACCAAAGGGCGATGTAGAGCAGGCAGGAGAATGGACAAATCTGGAGCTTGGCGGGAGATGGACACGTTGGGGAGCCGAGGGTGGATGACCACTGCTCAAAGCCGTGAGGCCCCAAGGGATGACCAGGCAGGACTACAAAAAAGGTGAGCCCTGAGCCTGCCTCCCACATTTCCAGATGGGGAGAGGCATCTGGGAGGTGGGAAGAGAACTCGGGGA